TTGTTACATACACTATGCAAAGTAGGTTCTAAAAAATAAAAAATAGGTTCTTATATAAAAAAAAAAATTTGTCATGCGATGCTACAGTAATAACCATCTCTTGACAAGCTAGGTCGGCCACCGGCGTAGAATCATTTTTAAAGTATCGATGTAACTTTTGTGTTGTCATCTTTATGAGTATTGACATTTTCTCATGTCGGAGAAAACCGACTTTCTAGTAGTGATATTTGATATAATATCTCGATGTTATGTCAAAAAAATTAGATATATATTAGACAAAAAAATTAGACATATGTCAAAAAAATTAGAGTTAAAACACAAGAGGGATTTTTACATAATTGATAATTAATTAAAAATAAATACATAAATAGAGCATATATTTACAAGTTACAACCTGTTATAATAATGAAATAATCTTTGATTAATTTATTTAAATTAATATAAACTCTAAGAAGTGTTATGATGCTCAAATAATAATTTGATTTAGACATAAATTCTAATAATTGAGAGTAGAGTTTGAAATTTAGGATCTCTAGATAGGTAGATGTTCCCAAAAGCACAATATTTCATAAATTTAAAAAAAATGAAGAGGTCAAAAATTAATTTTATTAAATTAGGATGAGACAATCTCTTAAAATCCTCTCTTTTTGCAAATTAATTAGCCATCTTTATGGACAAACAAAAAAAAAAAATATTAAAAAATTAATTTGTCAATCAATTTTGTCACCAAAAAAATATTTAAATTTTAGCAATAAGAGATTATACTAGGCTCGACTCTCGAACCCTATTATTGTTTTTATTTCTTAAAACAAAAACAACCCTTTGAAATATATTCTTTATTAATATTTAATTATTATGCCGGACCTTCAATTTTGGACTTAAACTTGTAAAATAAACTCGAAAGATTGATAAATTGTCAAATTTTTAATCTCAACTATTATTCATATTTCCACATTATTCAAATCAATGAAAATTTCTAAAGTTACGAGAGATTCATCTAATATAAAACACAAAGTATCAATATCATTGACTTAGTTTCTAATTATTGATTTAAAAACTATAGCATAAAAATTAACCGAAAGTTTTAAGAATTTTAAATTCACACTTGGCATGGTTGGCACGAAATTCCAAGTATAACAAATAAGAGAAGGAATGTTACTTTATTTTAAATCAATGATAAAGTGATAATAAACAATTATTAAATGATGACTGTAAAATATTTAATTTGGTTTCTCTTTCTTGACTTGAAAACTATATGACAATTTTTTTTATAATTTTACGCAATATTCTAAGTCGAAAACAGTGCATAGATAAGCCTTTACAACTGCAAGATCAATTGTAATTAAAAATCAATTATGTTTCACATCTATAAAGGTTGGTATGTCCAATGGAGACACTAATTGACATGGTAGTTGCATACTGTCTCCATCGCCATTTAAATAAAACGTGTCTTGTTATAGTGTCAAAAGTAACATTACCCTTTTTTCGATGTTCGTTTAACTTTCAAGGATATATGCATTTTGGATAACAGTTATTTAAATGTGTTGATTCATAAATTTGCAAACGTAATTGATAGCGTCAGAACCATATAAAATATGTACATGATCTCGGTGGATTAATGATAGAATGATATGATGAATTATATGCAATAATTAATATAAAACACAAAAAAATAAAGAGACTTTTTTAAGTGGTGCGATGACTTATAATGCAAGGTCTACATCCACTGTTATATTATTAAATGTGTTGAAACAGTAATTTGATTTACAAGGAGTTTGCTATTTATTTTCTGCAATTTTTTTTTCTCGTCCTAGAAACGGAGTACAACTACTATCAGTTCCAAGGTTGAGTTGGAGGTAAACTCAAATTCAGTAAAATAGGAAGTTTAGTGATTTTCAGCCTTAATTATGAGATCTACATTGCAAGATATCTACCTGCCAAAAAGGGAATTTATCTACCCCGGATTTCCCGCAAAACTAAATGTAATGATGAGTTTTTTAAAACGGTTTAGATGAAAGTATCACGTATAGATATACACATCGATGTAAGAATCAAATCTATCTTAAACTTATAAAATTGAGTACTAAATATTATCGGTCCCTACTACGTTAGTTTCTCATATTGATTATACGTGTAACACACTAATTAGAAACGGGCTATTTAAGAAAAAATAGATAGATTATATTATCTATATAGTTTGGGTATGATTTTATAAAAAAAAATAGATAATATTAGCTTCGTTTGGTTCAAGATTGGGAATACTACTCTTGGTATTACCAAAAAAGTTAAACAGTAAAATACCCAAAATCTGTCATTTTTGGGAATACTATTTTCAATATTATTTAATTTTTTTTAAACCCTCTAAATTTGTTAATTTAATTAAATACCCCTAAATTTTTTTTTAAAATTACAAAAACACCCCAATAATCCACATTTACCAGATTCCGGCCACCACTACCGAAAAATGGCCGGAATCTGGTAGGATGGCGCACTACCGGCTGAATCTGNGTTCATTGTGTTATTAATTTTTATAGTTGGTTAATATGAGTAAAATCCAATTTTCATGATAGGACTGTATTGGAGCCATGGATGACAAGCATATATACGCTTCGGTTCACATGAATTTGCCGATAGGTACCGGAATCGCAAAGGAACGACGACACAGAATGTAATGGCTGTATGCGACTTTAAGATGATGTTCACTTATGTCGTTACTGGATGAGAAGGATTTGCACATGATTCAAGAGTTTTAAATTCAATTCTTGATGATCCTAATTATGGATTCCCACATCCTCCACCAGGTATAAGTATTTTCTTGACGTATTATATATATTTGCTCCACTGTTGAGGCCCTGTAATTCAAATAAAATGTTTGATATTATTACAGGGAAATACTATTTGGTTGATACGGGTTATCCAAATAGAGATGAGTTTTTCGCCTCTCATAGGCGAGTGGCTTACCATATTTTTGATCATCGCAGTAACCGAAGGGGGCCGCAAGAGTTGTTTAACTACAGACATTCTTCACTCTGCAATGTTGTCGAGAGAACCTTTGGTTTTTATCATCTATATAGTTTGGGTATGATTTTATAAAAAATAATAGATAATATCGAATCAGTATTAATCTCTATAATGTGCCAGCAATTCCTAAACCCTAAACCCTAATATGTTAGTTTTTTAAAATCGATTATATATGTTTAATACACTGAATGTAAGAAATGGTTCTGATGCAGTTTTACAAAAACAAAAAAATGAATCATATTGTCTATAGTTTGAATATGATTTTACAAAAATGAATAGACAATATCATCTATTAAGTTAGTATTAATTTTTATAAAATGGCTGCAACAACAATAATCAACAATATTTATTATTTTATTTTAATTTCTTGGATTGGTAATATGTGTTTAACACACTAATATAAGAAATGGTCCGGATGCGGTATTATATCATCAACATCGTCTATAATTTGAATCTAATTTTATAAAAATGAAGAGACAACATCATCTAATAACTAAATCTCGAGGGGTTGGCCTGGTGATTAAAGAAGGTTGTTCCCTTCCTTGACTTCTTGGAGTTACCTACCACATAATGATTTTCCCACAATGTGACTTATCCGATCCTTTGAATTTATTAGGATATTCAAGAGATTCTGAAGATTAATTATGCTATGCGTAAACTGATCAGAACATCTTGTTATTAAAAGAAAAAAAAAAAAGAAAAAAAAGAACATCATCAAGTAAGTTAAATGAATACTCTCCGATGTGTCTGCAATCACGATGGCTAGCCTCGAGCTGTGACCACGTGTCACCCTAGCTCAAAGAGAGAGGGTCACCGTCTCGATAAAGGGCCAAAGAGAAGAGAGGGCCATAGATGAATGGTCCACAAACCCTAATTGCGCAAACAAAGAAAAGACACGCAAATCACTTCAGAATCACTTGAAAGAATCACTTGAAAAGGTTGTTTGTTCCAACCATGTCTTGGCCCGCCAGGCCATGAGACTAACCCATTGGGCCACCCCACCCCTCATGGTCCACCCATGGTCCATCACGTGCTCCACCACCTTCTTGGTGGCTCGCATCATGTTGCCTCCAGTGGCTTAGTTCTTTCATGGTTTTTGGATTCAACCATGGCTCCCAAAATCAAACATTGCAATCACAATAATTATTAAGCCCTTTGCTTCATTATTTATGGCTTAACTAGATTGTTGCTTAAATTAATTTTATAAGTCATCTTCAAACTTCACTTCTTCATGTCAAAGTTTTGCGCATGCAATTGGACACCAATGGCAAGAATTAGGGCACAACCTCACATGTATGTGTTCTTCATCTATACACCTAATTGACAAAGACAATATTATTTAATTTTTTTTTTTGATCTTCGAATATAAATTCGAAGAAGTTATTATGTGATCAGTTATGATCCATTCATTTCCTAGAAGAAGTTCAAAATTTCTTATCTATTGATGTCATTATAATAACAAAAAGGTTTAAGACAATATTTATAAATATGGAGAAGTTATTACACATGAGAATTATCATATACAAACATTATGATTTTTTTAAACTATGGACGAAAAACTAGCGATTAATCAGTTATGATTTTTGCATTTTGCATTTTGTTATGCACAAAATTTTTAAAAAAGAAATTTTATATTTGAACTATTTTTCATAAGCATGTGATTAGCCTAACCATCAATGTCATACATTAACTCTCATAATAATTTCTAATTTTCTCTCTCTATATATATATATATTATTTTTTTTCATAATAATTAATTAATTTATAATTTTTTCCCCTAAAAGGTTTGGGTGACGCCGAACCCAGCTCAGCCCAATCCAGCGAGTTAAAGGTTGAGTTTATTGGGCCGGCCTTATTCTTATTATTGAAGTTCTAATCCCAGTCGAAGAATACCCTATTCCCTATATCCAAACAAGCCTCCACCTTTCAAATCCCGCGCTCGCTTCGTTTATTCGAACTCACCACTCTCTCTCTCACTCAATTTCTCTCCGGTTCCCTTCCCTCCGTTTCCTCCAATGGCGCAGCCAATCATTCTCTCCGACGAAGAAGACCAAACCCCCTTCACAACGCCACTTCAATCTCTCGCCAAGAAGCCCCGAACCGGGCCACCCGACCCGACAACCCACACAATTCTGGTCCTCGACGATGACCCGACCCCACAGAAACCGGGCCCCACCGCCACTCTCTCCTCCACGCCGTCGTTCGTCGCCGAGACGCCGATGTCTGACTTGTCTATCGTCAAATGCACCATGGCCTCTTCGCTTGATCCCCAAATTAGGGTTTCGAGTTTTGATAAAAATTTCTGTGGTTAGTTTTAGTTACTATGGGCACCAATTTATTTTTAATTTATTTATTATTATTATTATTATTATTAATTTTTTTTTTTTTTTGCTGAGTACAAACATTATTAAATTTTAGAAGTGAAAATTTCGCTAAATTTTTTGTTTTAATTACGCATTTATTTATTGATTTTGTGTTGGAATTTTGAGAATATGTGAAGTAATTTTTTTTATATTTTTAGATTTTAGCAATGGGTGTTGAGAGCTTTTTAGGATGTAAAATGGGTTCGATTGATTGCTGTCTTTGATTGTGGAGAACTATGATAGAGAGCTGGTAATGTTACCGGGATAATTATGACGTGTGAATTACAGTGTATTCTTGACATGAAATTGTGTTAGATTTTTTTTTTTTTTGGTAATTTGAAATTAAGTAGTTCGAAATCTGACATTTCACGTTACCAATGCAAAGATGCTAGGTTACTAGTACTGGGATTTGGTTGTGTTACTGTGGCATTGCCATTGAAATGGTGATATAATGTCATTGATCATAGTAGAAAATCTGGTATTGGTGACATTCGAAGTAAATTCGTAACAAACGCGTTGAATGTTACTAATGTGGCATGTGTTTTTGCATGCTATTGAAAGATGGTATTCCGGTAACATTATAGAGTTTTCACTTCAGGGTAACATTGCGAATCCCAAATACTTCACATGTTGTAAACTTATGGTTCTTGGTGAACTGTTATTATGTTAGGATTGAAGTAAGTGCGGTTTGTTAGTTCAAGGTTTTCGAACCTTTTATTTCTATGTTTTTGGATCACCTTTATTCTACGGGTTCGGAGGTGAAAATGCTTGGCGGGTGGATGTTTTCTGTTGGTTAAATCTGATTGATTTTAGTGTTCTGTGCAATTTATACGTTTGTTGTTGGTCAATATGTTGATTGTAGTCATGAGGTCTTTTATTGGTTTGAGTTTTTTGTGGGATTTTTTCTTCGCCAGGTTTATATTTGTATGTTATTTTTAAAGGATCCCTTGAGCCCACTGAGGCAACTTGAATTTGAAACTAGGGCCTATGCCGAATCTTGAGTGTATATGCATTTATTATACATATGGTTGTTTATTATTTAGCTCAGGGTTGAGGTGTTTAGGATCTGTAGTTTTGGGTTCTTTATGACATTCTCTATCTAATGAGGAATAGGCTTTATTTGAGCCAGTTTGATTGTGATATGTTCATTTTTGTTTGAGCCAATTTGAACTTTTGTCTTGTTGCATTCATTTTTGTTTTGTGTTCTTAAAGGTTCTGTGTTTAGTTCGGAATAACAATGCTTTCAGCATATTATTAGTATGTTTATTGCTATTCTTGGCTTTGTTTGTGATGTCACAGGAAGTGATGGACTGATATGTTTAGAGTCTGACAATGAATCTGAAAATGGTCCTGGAAGGGAAAATTTGGCGAAGAATGAAGCAATATGTTCTGGTTCTGATGATGATGAGGACATAGAATGGCATTCTAGAGCTGTTAATTCGTCATGTTTCCTTGGTATGTGGAGATCATATCTAGATAGTCTCTTATTAAAAGAGGAAAGAATCTAGATTGTTTTATTTTGTGATTGCACTTTGCCTAAATTTTCTACTCTGATATTTGATAATGCAAAAGATAGCTTTATTATTTGGAATATGTTTTCTTTCTTATTGATGGAATTTACAGGAATTATGTTCATCAGGGAATGCAGATCTGATGCAAATGTCTGAGGACTATTCTTCACAGCCAATCTATCCACTGCATGATCGTGATATGGTACTTTCCAGTGACCACTGATAATTTTCTTCATAATTTCTTGAAGTTTGAGAAATTAGAAAATTTGCCATCTTATAAGAATAAAATTTGCATTTATACTTTGAAATCTTCTTATCTGTATTCTCCATATGCCTTATATCTATCTCTATAGAGAAGAAAAATAGATGGCTGTAAGGTGTGGCATCAGATATATGGCTGCAGTACTACGTATTGCTTCTGTTGGGGAGTTATAGTGGGAGATAATGCTGAATGAAATAACTATGCTCATACCTTATGTTAGAATTTTGAAATTGTTGGACCTCTACTGATCTACTTAAGCTTTTGGGTTGAATGGTCTTGTGTTATAAATTCTCCTTTGCAATTGTTAAATTTTGATAAACAATAAACTTGTGGAAACTTGTTTTTATTTATGGTGAAAATCTTTTTCTTTCTTTGCTGCGGGCTTGAAAGTTGGATTTAATTTTATGTAATCATTTATAGGTTACTTATACTTTTTAGGTCCTCTGTGAAATTAAAAATGTTGTTTACACTAACAATCAAGTTCATCTTTCAGTTGACTCGTTTTTTTAATGGTTTAATTGCATTCAATCAGGTAGAGGATTGCCCTGACAAAGAAAATTTTAGCATGGAGCAGATGAGTAATATCCCAACCACAAAAAGAGGTAAACAAATGAATGCTGTAAAGAAAAATGGCCAATCTGAAGCTGTAGGAAAGAAGAAGAAGATGACAAAAGAGGAAAGAATGCTCTTAATGGAAGAAAAGAAACAGAAGAAGGAAGTGAGTGCTCTATGTTGATGTTACTGAACTTTTTATCACTAGATTACTTTTGCAGATATCTAAATTATTAAAATTTGTAATACAGCAAGAAAAATTGCAAAAAGCAGCACTGAAGGCTGAGGCTGCTGAGTTGAAAAAATTGGAGAAAGAAAAGCAAAAGTGGGAAAAGGGAAAGTTTGCACAAAAATCTATTGTGGCTGAAATTGACACAAAAGTAGTTGAACTGGGCTCAGTAGGAGGTGAGGTGGTTCTAATGTCTCCTTCTAATTTAGGGATGATTATCTCATGTTAATCTATGTCATTTACTTCCAATGTGGTTATGGGGTTGAGAAGTTCTTTTATGTCTTAATATAGGACATCTACTTTCAAGGTTTGCAGAGAAAGGATTTACATATCGCATAACCTCAAATCCAATTGAAAGATCCATTGTTTGGACCATGACAGTTCCTGAACATATTTCTCAGGTAATTGCTTGGAATTTGATATGAAGATTTTGGCTTCAACAACTCAAGGTATCTCTTGAGTCAGAGTTTGCATTTCTATATTTTATTTAAGAAAAAAACCTTACATGTAAGTCAGGAAAAATCTATTGCTAGTAGTTGGAATTGGCAGAGATGATAATCATTACAGTTTTTTTTTTTTTTTTTTTATTTATTTAATAATGAGAAACAGTAACAAAATTTAATTGAAGATAAAAAAAAAATAATGCTTGGAAGAATATTTAACTTTGAATTGGGTTTTTTGAAGTTATATGCTATTCATGGGTGCAATTTCACTAAAAAGCTACTTCACAAAGCTTGTAATTTGAACCTTGGTTATTTCTAATTTTTATCTGCTCTCATCTGTTGCACTAAGTCGAGACTCACAACTAGGGATCCCATATATCTTTCAGCAAAGATGTTGATTGTTCTTTTTTCTTCAGGGTTATCCTTGTTAAGCTTTTAAGTTATTTGTCTTCCTATTTTGTTTGTTTATTCCGTTAGAATTGGCAGACAGGCCAATGTTGATGTATTCTGCTTGTTTGCACTTTTAACTTCCCTTGTTTTACATCACTATCAGAGTAATGGTGGTTGACGAGAATTCTATTCCCAGTTGACTCAAATATGTTCTGAGCTTAAGTGATGAAGCCAAATTCCTGAGAACTGCTTTTCTGATTGATGTCTGATGCTTGAAGCCCATAACATATGACTCGACCCTGGAATGTTTTTCTGTTTCCATTATGCATTTTCTATTCAACTATGTTGAAGAATTCTTTAATTCTCTAATTGACATGCTTTACTTCCAATGTCTAAAAGTTGGTCACATGTTATATTTGATTGGTCAGTTTGATGCCTTCATCTGTTTCTGTGGCTTTTCTTCATATATTTTCAAATGAGACAAAATATTAATATCTGATAAATCAGGTGCTCTAGTTGCTGCAAGTTTGTTACCGGGATGTATCTTTAGTTGGACATATCACTCAATTACTATCATTTTGACATATATATCATCATTCATTTGTTGCAGCTCTCTCCGCAAGGAATAGAGATTCAATATGTATTACTTGTATATGAAGCAGAAGAGTTTTGTAATCTTGTTCTCAATGAATCACTTATGGATCATGTTTCCAGAGTTAGAAGACATTATCCATCTTATTCAATTTGCTTCCTTACAAATAGGTTAATGGCATATATTAATAAAAGGTGAGCCATTACTGAAATTTTGTTATTTTATGCAAGTTCAATGGCATTGTACAACTGTATTGTATTAGAAGTTGTTTATGTCATGTACCCAATAAATATGTATGTGAACCATGAAAAAGGGCTTTATTGATGTTAGGGGAGATCTTCAAGCCAATAGTCAAAACTAATGGAGATTTCATGACTAATATATAAAAAGGGAAAGTAGCGTTTTTGAGGTTGAGGCAAAGATGAGGGGATGCCAGCTAAATTTGCCCAGAAAAGAAATCCAAAACTTGTTTCAAAATTTTATAGTTTAGTAATTCATCCAAGAAACAGGGGTCATTATCATAATTAAAAAGTTTCTACAATAAATTTCATGTAGACTTTGTTCAATCACTATTCTTCTCTTCTTTATGCTATTGGTAAACCAATGTTCTATCCATGAAAATGTCAGTCATGACTCATGTTCATCACAATATATTGTCACCTTCTCATTTTTCATGTGCCAGCTTACAAAAGTTTTTTTAATACGATTTACTTTATTGCAAACTTTACTTAATATGCACATCGTTTCATTTGTATAGTAGTTTATACTTTTTATTCTTTTTTCCACTAAACAATAGAGATAGGCTGCTAATTCTAATTGTGATGAAATTGCAATAGAGAATCATGGGGTAGTGTTTTGTCTTTGTTTTTTTTGGCATAATGTGCTATTCTGTTCTTAGCAATGTAATATTGCAATAAATTAAAACATTGATTCTGGCAATATGTCAGGGAAAAGGAACAGTACAAAAATCCAGCAAACAGTAATAGTTGGAGACGTCCACCTGTCGAGGAGGTCATAAGATTGAGAGAACAAATTATTGAAAATTTATGCTTTCTAGCTTTTGTAGGTGTTTTGAACACTCGATGCTTCGTGTTGATTGTATCTGAAAAACTGTGCTACAGGTACTGGCAAAGTTGACCACACATTTTGTCAGGGTACATTCCAGGCAGTGCATTGATGAAGCTGAACTGGCTGAACACGTTGTTGGTTTAACAAGCAGCCTAGGCTCTTGCCAATTTAGGTACTGTATTATCCTTTATTTATGAGTGTGTTCCTGGTTTAAAAGTATGGGCTAGAAAAAATACATATTAGTTTTTGAGGCCACCTAATAATACATGAATTTATGCAATAACGAATAAGTTCAACAAACTGGATACAAGCAGAGCCATATGCTCTTTTCTTTGCCGTATTTGTGAAAAACAAAGAAATTCCTATCCGTATTGTCCGCATTTGTGCCTCTTAGTGTGAATGGCATGCATTCTTTCTCATAATTAAGCTGATCAATACTCTGAAGCTGCCTTTTACTTTCCATTGCAGAAAGAAATTAACAAGACTTTCTGTCAATGCCAATGGATTGCTGGTCCCGAAGGACTCTGTTGATAGGAATTTAATTAAAAAGAGCCCATGGTGAGTACATTCTTCCAAATAACGCTTAAAGATCAAGTCCTTTCTGACATATTATATTTTTTTCTAATAGTATGTGTTAAAAAGGTCTTTTTACATTTCCAACCGCATTTTTTTAACCATTCCCACTAAGAAGTTTCTGCCATGGACTGCACCATGTATGTGCAGATTTTATTTTATTTCTTATATTTTTATTGACTCATGTCCATCAAATTCCAATTATTTAAATAAAATTTTTACTTAAATCAATTTTATGGACCGCAATATTTGTATGAATTTCATCTTAACTTGTGACTTGGTCATGTGATCTTATCTGAAATAGATACAGCTAACACTGTTATTTGTCTGTGAAAGGATCTGTTTTTCTTTTTTTGTTATTTGGTTGGCATTTGGCCAATGATATCTAGATCAGTATTTTGATGCCGTGTATTAAGTGTTTTGCTTATGGAATTACAGCTTGTTTTGTTTGATGCCTTCTCTGAGAAGAATTATATGAACAATGGACTGAGTTTTAGTGCTTTGTTTGACTTTTGTTTTCCTATGGCTGTCTCACTCAAATTATTAAAATTGTCTGCCACTTGTTCTACTTGAAGTTCACGCTTGTTCACCTCCATGCCAAACTAGAGCTTGCCGTGTGTTGCATGTCTTTATGATCAACCACCAACCAATGAAATGCAAAATATTTGCTTTCTGTTTGGGCATTGAATTTCTATTTTTATGAGCTCTCTCCTGTATCCAGGTTAAAAGCTTTGGTAGCTATTCCAAAGGTACAGCCCCGATTTGCCATTGCTATATGGAAGAAATACCCTACCATGAAAGCTCTTTTGAGTGTTTACATGGACCCTAGTAAATCAGTAAGTGTCAAAGCAAACTATGCCTCTGTCTATTTCCGGTTGATATAAAATATAAGCTCTCTTTGCTGCTATATTTGGCTGGCCCATGTACAACTGTTCAGCTGCATGTGCTTAAATATATAAGGACTCCATTGTGGTTTGCGTAACATTCAGGACATATATTTACCATTTAAAATCTCTGTTAAAGAACATCTTATGGTTTTCCGTAATGTTTCAACTGGTTTCATTTTTGCAACTTTGTAATTGCAATTGACATGTCCTCTTTTACTATCATTGGTGATTAACATTTCCGTCAATGCCTTCTCTAATGATGAAGGTCAAAAAAACCTGTGCAACACATAAGCATTTCAATTTCCACAGCAGGTGTAAAAGCTCCGAAATTTCATGTCCAAAAATTTTTGAGAGTGGCTGTGTTATGAAATATGAATGCTTTGACTTGCACTGTTTCTGCTGCTATTCTTAATCTTATTATTATTATTATTATTATTTTGTCTTTGCTATTGGTGGAAGCATTAATGATAGTAAGATATGTCTATGGCTTCTGTATTGAAACCGCAGGTGCATGAAAAAGAATTTCTACTCAAGGACTTGACCACTGAAGGTTTACTTGGTGGCGATAGACGTTTAGGTGAGGTTTGCTCAAAGAGGGTGTATAGAGTACTTATGGCTCAAAGTGGAACCATCAAAACTGATGATGTTGAGGACGGTGCTGATTTCTTCAGATACTAGTCCATATTAAACGACTTCCAATGGTAATTCTTGGTGATCTTTTTAACTATATGGGCAAAAGTAGAGACTTGCATCTATGTGATCAAGCTCAGTCTGGACTTTATTGACTGCATTTTCTACTTTTAAAATATTTTTGTTGGTACATATCTCTATAGCTGGATCTGATGACAACATTGTTGAATTTGGAATACACTCTGTCAAGTGGCATGCAAAATCGACCCATGTCATCAATTTGTCTCAAGATCAGCTGGCTCAACTGATGTGAACCGAACAAATCGCCATTGAATGTATGGAGATAAGTGCTTCTTCATTTAACTTACTGTATATATTTGAAGCATTTTAGGGTTGCTAAAGTGGCCAAAAAGATAACCAATTATTTTTGTACTGTCGATATCTATTTCGGCAATGCCATTCTGAATGTGATGTCTAGTCACATCTGAATCTTGACTCTTGAGCCTTTTATCTGCCCTGTTCATGCTGAATCTGAAGATAAGAGTAAATCTTATATGTAGTCAAATGATTCTGTGATTTTCATCATGATTTTCTCTTTGATTTAAACTGATTCATGATCAGATTCAAGGATTTTGTTTTGCACACTAGTTTATCAGTTTGTGGATAAAATTCTAAACTTGTAATTTTACGAGTATATTTATTCTCAAACTATATCGAACCTCTAGGAGATAAATTTTCTATGCATCATGTTACAGTATAACTAGTCAACGAAAGTATATTACATCAATGCAAGTATAACATACTTGTTTTCTCATTGGTTGGTTGTATTGCAACAGGATGCACAAAAAACTTTATCCTTCTAGTGCAGTGGGAAGTCACTCTCAAATTTAGGAATGAATTGGACCTTTGTGGCCCACATCACTTTCCACTACTACTACTCATGGGCTAGTTGTGGACTCCGTGGGCTGTGATGCTGGCCCATCTTTTCAAAACCTAATTTTAAATGGGCCCCCACCACCTCTGTTGAAACCCTAACTACCACCATTGGTGCCCTTTCTTTTTCTTCAATAAATTTTGCCCACCATTTAATAATCTCTACCTACTGTTTTTCTGTTTTATTTATAATTATTTTCATACTTTTTATCATTATTTTCGTCATCCTCATCGAGCAATTGCTTCATTCTATTGACATCTTTGTCCCAATAAGTTGGCAAAAGTTGACTGGATTCATTTTGTGTATTCTAATCAATGTGATTATATACATTTACTTATAATTTATATGGTTCTAAGTGCATTAATTGACTATAAACTTTGAATTTTTATTTTTATAATTACTAATGTATTAGATAAAATTATATTTTTTTTAGTAAGTAAACCTAGTTTACCATTCTTTGAAACTCTAGTCAGTGTGATATTGATCTAGTAACATTATCATCATCGGCCCAACTCTAAATTTGGGATGAGTTCAAATCTCCCAACATTTATCCATGATTCTTGATCTAATAAAAAATTAATTATACTTTTTTAAAGACACGTATCAAGATCATTGACGAACAAAAATTTTATTACTTCAAAATAATTTATACAAAAACATGTTCCCACCCAAACTTTGCCTAAAAGACAAGTTAGTATCCAAAAAGTTTCAAAACGATAAATACCCATTTTCCGTCTACATCTGTTAGTAAATTCCATCTATAGTAACTGAAAATACTAAAACCCCCTTATTATTTTCTTCTTTCTCCTCTTTTCTTTTTTACCCTTTTTTCTTCTCCACCGCCTTAAAGTTTAAACACATCTCCTTCTCCAAGATTTCAGCTTTTCATTTGCAACAACAAAAGTGCCCCACCAATAACCACCATCACCACCAGCCCGGCAGTAACCACCACATCAACAACTGCCCCGACAGCAGCCATCATAACATTAACCACCCCTGAAGTTTTCTTAGCAGTTCAATTCAGTCATGTTCCCTGTATAAATGATTGAAATATCACCCTTTTTCTCTGAAATTTGATCTTCAACTCTTTAATAATGCGATGAATTTAATGATATTAGCTTAAGTGATTGTTAAATCATTTGCCAAATAGTGGACGCTCTTTCTGCTTTGAAATAGGCCTTGTTTGATCCAAACGGTGGGTTTCAAAGCTGGGATGCAACATTTGTTGATCCATGCACCTGGCTTCACGTTACAGGCAATGACGATAACAAAGTCACAAGGCTGTATGTATATTCCACTGTTCATTAGTTTATTTAAAGATAATAAATTTGGCTGTTTGAGAACTCAATTTTTTTAACTTGAAAGTGGAATTTCAATTTGCTTCTTGAAGGGATCTTGGCAATTATGGACTCCAATGATCTCTTGTCCCTGAGCTTGGATCTTTGGCTAATCTTCAATATATGTAAGAACATTTTGCTGTTGTCGGAGTGGTTAATGTTGTGGTGGTTGTTGTCGGGGCGGTTGTTGATGTGGTGGTTGTTGGTGGGACGATTGTTGTTGTGGTGGTTACTGTCGGGATGGTGATGGTTGTTGGTGGGGCACTTTTGTTGTTGCAAATGAAAATATGAAATCTTGGAGAAGGAGATGTGTTTAAAGCGGTGGAGAAGAAAAAGGGAAGATGAAGAAAAGAGGAGAAAGAAGAAAATAATAAGGGCGTTTTAATATTTTCAGTTACTATAGACGAAATTCACTAACAGGTGTGGACGGAAAGTGGGTATTTGTCGTTTTGAAAAATTTTGGGTCTTTAAGGCAAAGTTTGGGTGGGAATATGTCGTTCGGCCTTTATCAATATAATATAACTTTTTTATCTCTTAATGGGTACAACAGTGAAATAACTATACAGAAGAATCATGATATAATAATTCAATTTCCATGATAAAATTATTAATCGACAAAACTCAAAGCCCACGTCACTGCCCATGCAAACTCCACTAACGTAAAATAATGAAAACTAAAATCTATAAACCCTAAAAAATCACTTCACAACCCAAAAACCAAAACCAAAAGGCCTCACCAACTTTTCTCTCATCATGGAGAAGAGTAGTCATTTTCAGCTACTCAAGCTCCTACACCGAAGCCCGGTTCGGGTTCGAGACGGGGAAAATCTACAGCTTCAATGCCCCTTCAGGGGACAACGATGCGGTGGTCCTAACACGGGAACCCGGAGATGAAGAGGAGGAAGAGAGTGGCAGCTACAATATGTATGCCATGGAAGGGAAGTTCAAATCTTCAATGAAACAGCTTCAAGTGGTCAAGAACAAGTTCAGTGATGGCTATTATGATATTGAGTGAGGTGTGTTTCATTATAATTATATGCCATGTTCGGATTTTTTTTTTAAATTGAATTTTCGTTTTTTTTTTTTTTTTTTTTTTTTGGGTTGATAAACATTAAGAAAAAGACAGATTTTTATGTAATTCAAAAATATTTTTGTAAAAACATTTGTTTTTTAATGTTCATCAACAATAATAAAATAAACTATTAATTAATTATCGTAAACGTGATCCGAGTTTTAGAAAAATGCTACGTTCGCATAAGAGAAGTTTCTTAAGCTTTGTTGTAATGGTGCTATTTCAGGTTGTACTTTTTATTTTATTTTTTCGAATTATATTATATATGTACGAAGATCTTTAAAACCTTTATATATGAACTCTAATAAAAAATAAAAGGTTGTAAATAATTAATATTGTAAATTAAAATGTCATTTGTAATACGTATTTTCTTCTTTTTTTTCTTCTTATAAATGTAAATTTTTGAGATGAATATAGGTGTATTTTCTTAAATTTTATGTATTAATGATGCTGCTAATTCATATCGTTAATTTGTAGCGTTTTTCACCAATTGTATTGTATGAAGATCTTTATAATATTCATTGATATATTTGTCATAAAAACGTCTGGTAAATGTTATAAATTAATTATAAAAAAAAAAAAAAAAACCATTTGAAATATTTCTTAATATTAATGTATTAAGATTTTTGAAAGTTTCAAAATACAAATATACGATCAACAGGGGCGGATCCAGAAATCTTTATTAGGGTGGGCCAAACAAAAATTTTTAGTTCTAAAATTGAGAGTGGGCCACAATTTTTTAATATTTGACAATAAAAATTAAGGGTGGGCCAAAGTCAAACTAAATGGAAAAATGTATTTAATTTTTATTTTTTAAAAATTGAGGGTGGGCCATGGCCCACTCTTAATACACTTTGGATCTGCCCCTGACGATCAACAAGAAAATGATAAATAAATAAATAGAGTAAACGACTTTTTCTCACCCAAAATGTTTCAAAATACCACTTTCCCATCCAAAGTGTATATTCCGTTAATACCCAAAATACACTTCACTTTCTCAGTCAGCATTCGACGAATTACCAGGAGCCAGGATAAGAGAGGTTTTGTAGAATGAAAGTCGATGGATCGAATGGTGGTGACCGATAGGGGTGTTCAAAAAAATGTAAAAATCGAATCGAATCGAATTGGTTTTCCGGTTATCCGAAAAACCGGTTCGGTTCAAAGAAATACAAAAACCAATTTTTGAGTTCGGTTACAGTTTACAAGAATATGAGAACGGATTAACCGAAACCAGTTTATTATAAAAATATTAAATATAAAATATTAAAAAATCTGGTTTATTATAAATATATTAAACTAAAAAAATATATAAATATTAAATATTAAATTAAAATAGGTTCAAAACTGATTTTTCCCTTAACTGGTTCGGTTTCGGTTCAAGAAAATTTCTTAACTGAAAAACTGATTCGGCTCACAAAATCGTTTAACCGATTTTGAACACCCCTAGTGATCGATTGATTATTCGTAGCCAAAATAAGCTAAGAACAGGAAACCCTAGTTTTACGGTAGCCTAAGGGTGGGATAATTCGGTTAACCGAACCGGTTTTGGTTAAAAACCGAATGTAAACCAAAATAAATTTTTGGTTTGGTTACCGGTTAACCGGTTTTCAAATTATCCTTTAATCCTTAAAATTCTTTAATGTTTCATTTAAGTCCCTAAATTCAAATATTTATTATTTTATATATAATAATTTTTTTGCTTTTATAATTGGGGTAAAACTGGTTTAAAAACCGATTTGAAATTTTTTTCAAACCGAACTGGTTTTCCAGTTTTTTGAATTTCACAAACCGAAAATCGAATCGGTTTGTAAAAAAACCTAATTTTCGGTTCGGTTCAGTTTTCAGATTATTTATCCCACCCCTACAGTAGCCGACAATCGAAAAGAAATAGAGAATTTTCGCTATTAGAATCGGTCAAAATCAGCTTTGGGTAGTAACGGAATATTAACTTTGGGTGAGAATATGGTATTTTGAAACTTTTTGGGTGTGAAAGTTTCATTAAGGCAAACCTTGGGTGGGAAAAAGTTGTCTACTCCAAATAAATAAATAAATCTCAAACCCACTTATATAACAAAGAACAAATATTTCAAGATCATTAAAACTCAAAAAAAAGTTTCAGATATTCTCAGAGATGTCCACCTCGATGCACTTTGTTAAACAAATATAATCTAGGATAAGCATTTATTAACATCGCTAAATATATAAATATCTCAATATTCAAACACAAAATACATCATGTTCCAATTAACAGTAATCTAATCTGCATCCAAAGATAATAAAATTGGACGGACGGGATTTCAGTCACGATTTGGGGTTCGAAAACCGAGTTCTGAGGATTATTACAAGTTNTATTTTGAGTTATTGTAGTTTAATATTTGCATTGAATAAAATTTTATTTTTAATTTTTCATCATTTTTTAAATTATATCATTATTATAAATAATAATCAAATTAAATTAAATACAAATACTCAAATTTGGTGTGATTTTTGGTGTAAAATATAATATTCAAATTAACTTAACAAAAAAAAAAAAAAACCAAAATTAAAAAAATATATATATTTTTTATTTGTGCTACAGTACTGCACCATTTTGGCGCAGTGTTTGGCGTGGGTTGGAGTACCAACCCACGCCAATTTGGTGTTTTTTGCGCCATTTTGGCGTGGGTTGGAGATGCCCTAAGGGTGTTCAAAAAAATGCAAAAACCGAACCGAACCGAACTGGTTTTTCGGTTTTTCAAAAACCGGTTCGGTTCAAAGAAATACAAAAACCAATTTTCGGGTTCGGTTACAGTTTACAAGAATATGGGAACAGGTTAATCGAAACCAGTTCATTATAAAAATATTAAATATAAAAAAAATCTTGTTTATTATAAAAATATTAAACTAAAAAAATATATAAAATATAAAATATTAAATTAAAACAGGTTCAAAACCAATTTTTTCCTTAACTAGTTTGGTTTCTGTTCAAAAAAATTCATGAATTGAAAAACTGGTTCGGCTCTCAAAATCGTTTAACTGGTTTTGAACACCCTTAGTGACCGATTGATTATTCGTAGCCAAAATAAGCTAAGAACAGAAAACCCTAGCTTTACGATGGCCGACAATTGAAAAGAAATAGAGAACTTTTACCGTCGGAATCAGCTAAAATCGGCTTTAGGTAGTAATGAAATATTAACTTTGGGTGGAAAGGTGGTATTTGAAACTTTTTGGGTGGAACAATTACGGCAAACCGTGGGTGGGACAAAGTTGTTAAGTTCAAATAAATAAATCTCAAACCCAGAACAAATATTTCAAGATCATTAAAACTCAAAAAAAAGTTTCAGATATTCTCAGAGATGTCCACCTCGATGCACTTTGTTAAACAAATATAATCTAGGATAAGCATTTATTAACATCGCTAAATATATAAATATCTCAATATTCAAACACAAAATACATCATGTTCCAATTAACAGTAATCTAATCTGCATCCAAAGATAATAAAATTGGACGGACGGGATTTCAGTCACGATTTGGGGTTCGAAAACCGAGTTCTGAGGATTATTACAAGTTCCCTCCTAAGGTATCAATAAATAAAAATTTACCCCCTGAAATACGAAACAGTGACTATAAGTATAGCAGATAAATTGTCATTTTAGATACTTGAGGGGATCCGCATATGTTTCATGATACCTTAGCAGGAAAGTTATATAACAACTCTAATGATAACCTAATCTTGATCAGATCCAAAGAGTTTAGACATCTTCTCAGCATCATAAGTCCTAAAATCCAAGGTAGAAAGTGACCTGCTAAAGGGAGCAAAGGCATTACCTTGTCTGTGGTCGATAATATCAGAAATGGAAGCGTGCAAAAGAGTACTCATGTTTTGGATGTTTTTAAGGGCATTTGGGTGGCCTTCAGTGAGAGTGAAATTCTGAATCATCTTCTTTGAAGGGTTATAATTAATATTAGGGTACCCTTCTGTTCTTGGGGCTGTTTTTGCATGAGAATTATGCTGAATTGGAGAGGGAGATGCATCATCGAAGCTCTTGTCATGTAATATTTTTGTTGGTTTTGAAGATGATGAACTACTTGCTGTACTGCTAACCGTTTGCATAGTTGAGTCTGGATTCTTCTCCAACTGAAACAAAATAAAAGACAGATATATACGTTTGATTACTTCATAAGTTTTCGAGTTAAGTATAATCAAGTTAATTAAGAATCCGTTTTGGCTCTACTAGAATTATGGCCTATGCCGACATTGAGCCGGCGCCAGGAAACACAAAACCTGCGTTGGAGCATTTCTTCCCTAGTGCAAACTTTTGCGCCGGCAACTCGTTGGGTTATCCGTCGTCAGGCATATTATTCCCTGATGCCGGCCAAAGCATCGGTGGAAAATTCTTTAGGAAAGTTCTTTCCACGGACGCACAATCTCGTCGGCCTTGAGGCTTGACATTTGGCAATGGACGTCTTTGTATACCGACATTGGCAGGGCGTGTTCTTCAAGTAGAGCTTTTATCTATAAGTTTATTGAGTTAAAGTGATAAGGTCATATTGAATTCACCTCTTTGGAAGATTCAGTCTGATCTCCTTTGGATTCTTCTGAAGTTGAATCCTTTCTCCTATGAGCTTTATGCTTTGTGCGAGTGGATTTCTTTGCCTTTGATCTCTTGTTCCTGTCAAATTTAAACCCACATTCATGTAATTCACCTACTCATGATGATCAATATAAGAAACTACTTAACAGTGTGTGAAAATTAAGGGCATAATTTGAACTAAAAAACATACTTCTTATGTTTGGTGGTTTGAGAAGACTCATCTTCCTCTTTGTAAATTACTGGTAAACCTGAGAGGTCACATGGCAATGGACTTGAACTGAAGAACTGTAACCAAAACAGAAGTTGTTAATTTTACCTTCAAATTCCTCCGCAGATAATCATAATAGATGCACGGATTCTATATACTCACTTCAAACTGAAGGGCAGAAGCAGCTGTGCCGCGATACGAAGGGTCGAGCGCTAGCAGTGTCGTTAAGATACCGAAAGAAGAGCGAGGAAATTCCGAGAAAACCTCTTGGAAACTAGGCTTCAAATGTGGTGGCCTGAAGGTGACAGTGAACTTCATCTTCTTCCAATAATCATCAGAAGGTGAGCCACAAAGTTTAAAAATCCTGTGAAGCTGCTCAACCTGGAGGAAACTTAATTATTACACTGGATAACACTTTCACATCCTAAAGCTTAATCATGGATAAATCTATTAACTTCATAACAGGTCAGCTTGTGTAAAAGACTTTACGCGAAGAATTTGTATGTTTTAATAAACTTTTACCTCAGTTCTTCCGGGCATGACTGGTCTTCCAAGAAACATTTCAGCTAAGAGGCAACCAGCACTCCAGAGATCAATGCCGACTCCATAATCAGTGGAGCCTAAGAGGAGCTCAGGAGCTCTGTACCAGAGAGTCACAACTCTGCTCGTCATCGGGCGTTTCGGTTTCGGAAGATTGTAAAAATTCGCCAGCCCGAAATCGGCAATTTTCAGCATCCCATTTTTGTCTATCAACAAGTTTGAAGCTTTGATGTCTCTGTGTAAAATCGATCTTTCATGGCAGTGTTGCAGCCCTGAAAGCAGCTGCTGCATGTAGCACTTCACCTGCAAAAATGAAAATAAGAAGTTTGATTACGAGTTGTCAGCATTCGTTATCGTTTCCTAAAAACAATATTTGAAAATGAAGACGACATTGACCAGAGCCTAGTTTAGCCCTCGAAATTGGGTAACAGTACATCAAAATCATCACTCACCTGTGGAAGAGTGAGCCTCTGGCCAGGGCGAGAGATGACTCTAGTTAAGTCAGATTGCATGAAATCAAACACTAAATAGAGACTGTATTGCATTCTTGAAGTGGCTAGGCCTTCAAGTTTGATGACATTGGGGTGATCAAGCTTCTGCAGAATCCTTATCTCTCTTGCCATGAACTTCACACTCTCAGGCTCAGATGTGTCAAACCTCACCTTCTTCAAGGCCACAATCTTTCCTGTGTCTCTATCTCTAGCTTTGTACACATTGCTGTAGGTTCCTTGGCCTACCTGCAAAACGTAGACACGTGTTGTGTTATGAAAAGACTCGTGTTCTGAGATCGAGTCCAGAAAAGATGAAGGTTTGATTATATCAATACATTCTTCTATACAAAGAAATATAAGAATTTGATTATGTTTAAGTATTCATACAAAGATAACCCAATCACTAAAGCAAAAACCGTAATATTCTTTACAATAACTCTGAGAATTATGATCATCACGTATTATCTTATTTATCTATCACTTCCTATCCTTAAATAGAATGATACAATGGAAGTGAGGAGGGTATATTACAAACGAACATGTACTACAAGAATGTTACAATTTTCTATGTACAAAAAGATTTTGGTCATCCAAAGTCTTGTTTAATCTCTGAGAAGGTCACACGTTAAGAGAACGCGATCATAAAACCGAAAATAACACGATTCTACAAAGCATAAATCATAAAAATCAATACCAACCTTAGCTAATTTATCATAAGAATCAGCACTTTTGGGAACCAAAGAAGCCAAAACATCAGGAGGAATATTATCAACAAGCCATTTAGGCCATCCATCCACGAGTTCATCTCCTTCAATCTTCTTCTTAACCACTACCCTCCGCACGCCCTCGCCGCCACCACCGCCCTTCGCCGCCTCTCCTTCCCCAGCTGGTCCCACCTTAACCTCCCCACCACCTTCCTTTTTAACCAACTTCCCACTATGCTCCCCCACAGCCACAACTTTGCTCACCCCCTTCACATACCCATTCTCAATCTTCAACCTCTCCAACCCCTGAGACGGCGAATACGTCGACCCTTTCACCTGAACACACCCCATTTGATCTTCTTCTTCTCCGAAACCCGCCTCACCGGTTTTCTAAAGAATTCAATCCCTCCTTGGCTCTCCACATCAACGAACATAAAAGTTTGTTTCTTGTTTTACTCAATTGGTTTGTGATGAACAAGGTGGGTGGCCGCCATTTTGTCGGCAGTATTTTGGACTTTTGCAAAAGGGAGGCTGAGAAATTGAGGGAGAAGCTCCTCCATTATCAAAGAATCGGACTGTTTTCTCAAGGCCAGCTGTGGTGTTCATGCATACTAGGTGAAGTTTGATTGGCAGTTTAACTAATTTTGGCGGTCAGGTCAGGAATTATTATTAATTATTAATTATTAATTATTGATTTATATTAAGTAATAGGACAATTATATGAATTAATTTATCAAATAAGGATCTAATCTGAATCATTAAAATCATCGAAATTGATTAAAATTAAATAGCTAGGTAAATTTTCTGATATGTTTTACTTTGGTTTTATAACGTGTGCTGTTTTGTAGGGATCTTAATGGTGAAAAATCCGAGAAAGAAAACTAGAAAGAGAGCAAACTCTTATCTTATTATGAACAATGAGATGAAATGAATTTTCAGGTTTCTTATGTTTGTGTCTCAAGGAGGAGCCTTTCGATCTCCAGAAATAGTAGTAGCTTTCAACAGTGATGAGATTGCTAATTAACAATGCCGCTCATGCTAATATTGTCTCCGCTGATAATCTTTCTCGAGGATGATAAGCCGAGGTCGAAGGGCCCCAAAGAGTCTGTCTGCATCCAGACATTGCAACCGAAAACAAAAAGAAGAGGAGGAAGGTTAGCTGGTTACATATGATTCTCTGAAGTTCTATGCAGTGAAGGGGAAAAAACAATTTACCCATTTGATGCCTGATAGACCAAGGCTGCTTTCATCGTTGTATACCCGGGAACGAAACTGCAAGTCTGCCTCAGATTCTTGACAAGCATTGCCCTGTGAAAGCGCGGGTTTTGCATTGGCCTGCAAACAGTAAGGTGGAAACTTTGAAAACAATATATCACGGCACAAAATTTTGCAGCATAAATAAAAAATTATATATATATATTTGAGCAAACCTCTGTCACACTTGGGAATTTGAACGACTTAGGACCAGCACCCTGACTGCATGACTTAGATTCTTTCTCCGAGGAAGAGAATTTTTGAAATGCAAATGCATGACATGTGTCTTCAGCATCCAAAATAGATGAATGTGAGTCATGAGAAGGTGGAGGTGGAGGCCTTGGACCTTGAGAGTGACTCATTTGGCCAGCAAGAAAAGCATCAAATGAATCACAAATCAGTTGAGATGGCTGCAAGCCTGAATTGATCCCGTTCAATTTCGCGTCACAAGCATTGAATCTGCCCTGCAAGGATGCTTCAGACAGCAAGCCTCCTATGCTTATGTTACTTAGGCTATCAGCCCACAGCAAAGATGATTGCCCAACATTGCCATCGATCCTCACTTCAGTGTCCTAGTTATATCACAATGAGTATGATTCAGAAAGATACAACATTTGAGAAGATATATATGTTCAAAATCTAAATTCCACAACGGTAAATTTAAATTCATATTTGAAGAAGTGCTAATTCAATGATTGTATCTAAGAAGTTGAACGTGATCATATAATTTCAAACAGTCAAATCCAAGATGATCATAAAAAACTTGTCAGGAGATTACTCACCATAACAATAAAAAGATTCAATATTCAGTCATCAATATGTGCATTTGGGGCATATTATGCTTTTGAGAAATATCCATTATAGATGGTTAAACAGCAAACAAATAATAATAGAATGATTAATGTGATACCTCAGGATCTATTGGTCTATCAAAAGGCATGTTCTCAGCCAGCACTGCAGTTGTTGCTCCATGTCCAGTACTATGTTCATATTCTTCACTTGTTGCTTCTATTTCTTTTACTTTGCCATATGTATTTGCCACGTTAGGGCTGCAACCTTGCTGTACTTCAGCTTTTAATGAACCCCCTGTTGAAGTTGATGTACAAGGAATTTCAGAGGTTGAAGCTTCAGTATTGGAGGACCAGGCATACCTTGTAACAGAAACTGAGTCAGAATCTTGCACTAAACTACAACATGCCTATAAGAAGAGAAAGTGATCAGGTCTTAGACCTTAATCGGAAAACGGCAGGAGCTCCAATAGCTGTATAGACATCTCCTGCACTGATGTCGATGTCATTCATTGTCCATCTGTAACTTGCAAAATTTTCCACCACATTGTACGGGAAAAGTATGGGTTCCCCAATCGCAATATTTGAATCACCCCATTTGCTATTAAGATGCTTAAGTACAGAAGATATCTTCTTCCGCTTGCTTAGAGTTAGTTCCAAATATGGATGAAATCCATCCTGCAGGAAAAAAAAAAAAAAAAAAAAAAAAGAATATATTTAAATAGGGTTATTAAAAGCTTGCAATTTGTTCAAAGCTTAGTACTTATCATTTTACCTTTTCCAATCCTATGCGAGTGCCTTCATCCAGGGGAAAAAGCTGCAACTTAATCTTCGTGGACAGATGAAGTATTTGTTCTGGATAGAGGTCAAGTGCAGGTAGTTTTTTAGTTGTTTCAAAGAGGCATGCACCTTTTCCTGGATGTTGCAGACTCACAGCTACAGCTGAGCCAGTAGGTGAACAATTCTCATCATTTTCAACTGAAAAATCATCACGTTTCCCTGAAAAGAGAAGAACCGTTACAAATCCAAATGAAAATTTTTGAGTACCAATGAAAATAAACGAAAGCAGTCATGGTTGACTAATGGATGATGTGATAATTTAAAGGTATCCCAGTTCTAGGGGCAAAAAGTCGAAAAGTCCAGAGCTTGGCAAAGTTTGATGGGTTTCCTAACGTGCTAGGCTTTGTTTATTTATGGCTTTTGTATGGACCCACCAAATTAGGTTTTTACATATTTCAGACAAGCTTATATGTCCTGTACCAGAAAATTAACAAGAGATTTTGGATGATTTTGGATGAACTACAACCAGCTCCTTCTCCTCTTTTCTTTACTAACTATTAGTTTTGCCCCTTAGTATTACTAGCTTGTGGCGTGAAGCCTTTTCACATTCTTTTGTAGCTGGAATCCAGAATTAAATTAAAAATCGAATTTACACCGGCCCTTCGAGAATCTTATTAGAATCTAATTTAAGAAGTACTGATAAGTGTTTAACCCTAGACCACACCAAAAGGCCAATTGGCCACAAAGTTCAATCTGAAAACTGTCATAAGTAGTTTATAATAGTGCATTGATTCAAAGAACAGATTGCTAGAAAAAAGCAGCGCAAGCACAAAACTTAGATGAGATGCCGTACCTGTTGTTTTATGGCACTGCACATTAGTTCTCTTTGCAGGTTTCATGACTCCAGTGGCAACTATACCCATATTCTGCTCTCCAGGAGCCCCAACTACCTTCCCCCTTCGCTTTCTAGAAGATGTCATGGCAGTTCAGTCTCTGCATATCGGACCAGTTGTCAAAAACATTGAATCCAACATCTCATATTATCACAAACAAGTGTCAGACACAATCCTAAAAACTAGTTATATTCCAAAAACAACAAATTATAATAAATAAAAAATCCCTTTCCCAGTTTCCTATTGGTTTTTTGTCCATCCAACCAGCTTTCAGATTTTTTAAAAAAAAAAAAAGACACAAACCTAACGAGATGAGAACATAATTCTGACTTCTAAATTGTATCTTAGTTTCTCAAAATATTCATCAATTGTGAATAACAAAATTTACACCACCTATAAATTATCTCAACTTCTAAAACACACACGAAAAAAAAACCCTAAATTGTTATATTCTCCAAAAAGAAATTGTACCCCTACTTCAAATCCTTCAAAATAATTTGAATAAACACAAAATCCTCGCATAATTTAACTCTAAACAAGCAAAATTACCCAAATTATGGCAAAATATAACTGAAAAAACCCCTTTTTTTTTTTTCATTTTTCTTTCAATCTTTATCTAAATCTTAACTTCAACGAGAGATAAACTAACAAAGCCCTATCCTACAACTATCATAAATCAAAATTAAACAAAACTAATCAGCCCTAATTGCTCTCAAATTCGCCAAATAACAACTCGAATCACACACAAGGCGAAATCAAGAATCAACTTTATACTCAGTCGAATTCTAGCTACTATAATGAAATCAAATTACAAAACGAAAACGTTAAAACAGTGAATTTAATCCATAAAATGGGAATTAAAACGCAAAATTTTCTTAAAATAAATAACAAAATCCCTAATTCAGTTACAAAAAAAAAACTAATTATCGAAAATCGAATTCTAGCTACTAAAAAGAAATCAAATTAAAAAACAGCAACGTTGAAACGATGAATTGAATCCACCAACAAAAAAGAAGAATTAAAAATAAAAATTTTGAATTTAATTACAGAATTAACAAATTATCGAATCGAATCGCGTACCTTAATCGAAGCGCCACTGAGAGAGAGAGAGAGAGCGAGAGCGAGAGAGTGTGTGTGTGTGTTCAAAGTGAGATAAAATATGTTGGCGGGAATGAATTGAAGGAAGAAGAATTGTAATGGCGCCGATTCGTTTTTTCATTTTCGTAGAGAGATATGGATCATTTCGGGCGGACGGTTATGGGCCTTGTTTTGCTTGGGCCCAAAACTGATTATTTTTTAATATTATTCTTATTTTTGAATTAGACTGTTAATTTAGAGGCTGTTTGTAAACCCCCTTGTGTTTGACCCTGCTTATGGTGAACACCTACTAGTTTTAGAAATGTGATCTTAACTCCCAATTTTTTACAAATCGTTACGTTATTTTGTTTAAGTTTGAAGGAAATAGCGTTTTAACCAAAATCTGTCAACAATATTGAGAGATTAATATTTTTTTTTTTAGCTTATTTGAGAAATTGTTGATAAATTTAAAGGTTAAATTGATGACATTTTTTAAACCAGGAGACACTGTTTTAAAAACCGGACCGGACCGGACAGTCCAACCGGTTGGACCGTGAACCGGTCATGTGTCCGGTTTGAGTCAACCTCAAAACCGCTATTATACATTGAGCCGCTTTAAACCGGTTGAAAACCGGATAATATCAGTGAACGATTAGACCGGCAGAAAAACCGGTCCACATTTTAACAATCCCTAATACGTGACAATGTCACACAGCCCTTTCTCATCTTCTTCTCTTTAAGTCTTTCTCAGTTTTTGTCACGAAAATTTCTCAGCAAATACTCTGATCTCTGCGAAAATTCTCACGGTTTCGGCTCTATCTTTTGTTCTCTCTGAAATCCCACCCAAATCGCATTTGAACTCTCTGAAATCGACGACGACGTCTTCCTCCCTCGCCGAAAATCAATGACGTCTTCCTCCCTCACTGGAAATCGACGACGATAGCTCCATTCGTCGATCTAGGTAATGTCATTCCTCGCTCCCTTTACATTTAAGTTAACACCCTTTACATTTTTCAATGTATAGAGCTGTTGTGGTTGTATTGTAACAATACTATTGTTTGCCTTGAGTGAATCTTTGTTCATAAGTTGCTGTTTTTGACCCTTGGCTGTTGCTAGATGTCCTGATTTTTTGTTGTTATAATATTTTATAAAATTTGAGTGACGACAAGTTTGAAATGTTTTGTATGTGTCTGTGAACACATAATTTGGCTTGACAAAAGCATACATGCATCTGATGGAAAACACAAATTAAGATGATAATACTATTTGTGCTATTGCGCTGGATGTCCTGATTTTTTGTTGTTATAATATTTTATAAAATTTGAGTGACGACAAGTTTGAAATGTTTTGTATGCATCTGTGAACACATAATTTGGCTTGACAGAAGCATACATGCTTTTGATGTAAAACACAAATTAAGATGATAATACTATTTGTGCTATTGCGATATTTTAGTTTGTTGAATCAGTTTGACTTGTCACACTTGAACTGAAAATTCATTTAGAGAAAAAGAGAATTAGATTTAACTTATGATTTCTATTTCTAAGTATCAAATCATTTTATATACGTGTGAAGGACAGAATTCATGTTTTATACATTCTAGGTGGAAATGAGTTAGATAACATAAAAATTTTATGAATTATTAAAGTAAATAGAATGAACTCTTAAGTTTAAAACACCAGATCACCAATCTTGGAACTCACTCATGCAGAGATTGGGTTATGAACTTACCAAGCTCACCCCTCCCAGGACCTAGTATTAGGAGACCAGCATCTGGTAATGACCTCTATGGTGATGCAGGAGTTAGTTCATACCATAGTTTAGCTGAGTTAGTTCATACCATAGTTTAGCTCACCACCAATATTCTTCCTTTTTTGCAATCTGACTGAACCTTGCATCTCTACTTGATCAGTTCTGAAAATGGTTTAATTTTGAATTAATTTGTTTTATCAGAATGATTGAATAAACTTACTATGTAATTCAAGATGTTCCTTCTTTTATGTGAGGATTGAATTTCAGATTTCGTTGCAATCTTTAAGCAGAAGTTAACAACATTTCCTGCTTGGTTGAGATTTTGCATGACCATCCAAGAAGCCCTTAGCTGTTTAAACTTTTAATGTTCTTAAGAGGGATTGGTTTTGGTGGAATGATTGACCCTATACCCCTGACGTTGAACTTTCCCCTCTGCATTTGCACTCTGTAGATGAACTGTTTAAAATATCAATTTTCTGTGGCTTCTTTAAGGATTTAACTGTTGCGTAGATTTTTCTCTCTCAGATCACATTAAGTGATTTTGAATGGATGTTTTGGATAGATCGACACATCTTGTTTTCCTTCTCTCTCTCATATAATGAACCCCCAACCCCACAACCCACCTTTAGCTTTTGTTCCCTGTACACAAAGGATGTTCACTTTTTCTATCACTACTTTGAGAATTGATTGCTGTCTACATCTTCCTCTGAAATTTCATTCTATTTGAAATCTTTAACCATAGTTTTCATCTCCAGGGATGCTTATTAATATCTTTCCAAGCCCAACCTAAATGATTTAATAATCTGGTTTCTGATTTGGTTGTTTCTTCAAGTGCAGGCTGTGATGTCAAGTGATTTTTCAATAGCTCAATTTCGTTATTTGGAACGTCTGTTGCTGGTGCATGGCCATTGGTGTTACAGACGAATAGCAATGATGGTAAAACTGTCTTCATGATCTTTGGCTGCTCTCTAGAGATAAATTGGATAAGCTTTCTGGTTTATATATAAGAAACTGAATGAAATTTTGGCAACAATCAACACAATGCTTCCTCTGAGTTTCATCTATTAATTTATATTAACTTAGTATCTATTTAAATTACAAGTTTTAACTTATGATTTCTATTTTTTACTAAAATTTGTGTAGATGGTGGTGATGGTTATGATGATGATGATGGTGATGATGGTGATGAATTTTAATGCCAATGTGTGAAGCTCAATCAACATGGAGACGGATTAAAGAAAAAACACTTGCATCAAATGTTTTGTTATTAATTATTATGTATTTTGTCATTTGATATGTAAATACAAAATTATGTTTGGATTTGAATTTTGAATTGTTTTTAAATACTTAAATTATGTTAGGATTGTTGTTGAATTTGAACTTTGAATCATGTTAGACAGTAATTAAGTTGTTATTGTCTTATTGAAAAATAGAAATCTAAAAAAAAAAAATTGTTTTTTTTTTTTAAAATGTACTAACGTCATCATGATGTGTGATGATGTCACCGATCTAACTGACGGTCCACCGGTTGAACCGTGATCCAACCATCAGAGCGGGTTGCCCTCCGATCTAGTTTTTAAAACAATGCCAACAGATACTCACTAAAAAAAGGTTAAACATGCTGGGGTCGGGGGCTATAGCATATTTCTGAAACCAACGAGGGCTATTATCACAATTCTGAAACCATATGCTTGCACAAAAAGGCCAAACACACGAGGGGTTTACTACAGAAAACCCTAATGTGGAAGGTTGAATTTTTGTTTTTGTTTTGTTTTCAAATTTACAAATTTAAACCAAACATTTGAATTTTTTTTTATTTTTTTAGAGATTATTTTTAAGTCTTTAAAAAAGTTTTTTTTTTTAATATATAAAAATAGATCAAATCAAATTTATAAAACAAAATAGAGATACTTTTAAAAAAAAAAAAAAAAATCAACACATTTAAATTAGCTTAAAAAATAACGTACAAGAGAAATTTATTTAAAGTTTGTACTTCAATTTTTAAATTTTAATGTCAAATGGTATAATATTTGAGTAATGTCACTTTTGGAACATAAAAGTTAAAATAAATAAAATAACAGAGTTAATAACATTAATCCTCTTATGTTTGATTAAATAACAAAAATTCCTTCCAAGTTTTTAAAATGATAAAAGCCCCCCTACTGTTAAATTTTAGATATTAAAATAAACTATATATATATATATATGAACTTATAATAATGGAAAATGATAGAGTTACCGAAAATTACACACCGAATTCGTGCACCGAATGACGTGACAAAATCCTAACCGTCGATTAATATTAACTTATAATGAATCAACGGTCAGGATTACGTCACGTCATTTGGTGCACGAATTCGGTACACATCCTTCGGTAATTGTAACATTACTCTATAATAATTTATGTTCTAATGGCTCACTAATGAACTACTAATGACATGGGAATACAATATATTAAGCATTCGATTCTACCATTAAGTTTTCCGAACAATGAATGGACATACAATCACCCACTAAGATCATACACGAGTGCACATATATGATATGATACGTCCACGATAACTTAGCATGTTATGGTTAAGTTATGATATATGCATCCGTTGAACGGAAGACTTTAATTTTTTTCTCTATTGTGGCCACAAACGCTAGCTGGAATATAAAATGGAAATTGCACTACATTTGCAATAATTTCAAGGCTTCTAACAACATAGAAGCTTTAAATAACAAAATTAAATAAATAATATGTAAGAAACCAAACCCGAATTTCAATAAGGGAACTCGCGGCCTGGACTCTCTGCATGCATGTCCATGGATTCAGAACTGGGAGAATTGGCGTCCTTGTTCTGATTGTGGGCACTGTTGGTGTCACTATTCCGAGGACCGTTTCCAGTTGACATTTGGTAGCCTCCCTGTGTCATGTTATAGTGTTGAAGGTTGCAGTTAACAGGTCTAGAGAGAGTGTTCGAGAAAACTGAGTTCTTTGCTTGATGATCTGGTTGTCCGGAACGAACTCCGGGCCCTGCTGCCGGTGTCGCTCATGGAATAGAAGCAATGGGAACATGTTGGTGTTGAATAGGCAACCTGGGGGACATAGGAGGCTCCTCTGCTCCATATTCTAGCTCATTCTACCAAAAAAAAAAAAAAAAAAAATGAAAACGATCTCAGAGGTAATTCAATTTCACCGAGTGAATAAAATTCATCTATTTGTTTTCAAAATTGGGATGACAACAGAAGAATGGAGTGCAAAAAACATTTCCAAGCAATTAGAAAACATATAATATGTAAATCAACAAACATTACAAAAG